GCAGGTCCCTGAACTTCCACCTCTTGGAATCGTAGCCGGTGGACTTGCTTTTCTTGCGAATCTCCGGCGCCGTCTCCGACTCCTCCTTGCGACCTCCACTACCGCCGCCGGCCCCCTTTTTAGGGTTCCACACACAGTACGTCCCCTCCGGCAGGCCCTCCAATTCCTCCGAGGAATCCGTATCGCTACCGTCGCCCCCCTCCTCTTGTTTGAACAGCTTCTTCAGCTGCGGGTGCCGCCCGCGGACAGGCTTCGCTGGCGGCGGCGGCAGCAGTGGGGTTTTGGAGTCGAAATTGGAGTCGAAGGGATGGAAATCTGGGTGGTTCAGGAGCAAATCGGTGTTGAATAGCGGGTAGAGGGGCCTCCCAATTTTTTAACTAATACACCCATGAATTTGGATTTGACAAAACCCAATTCATTGCCAATCCCTAAGCCTCACCCTCGGAGTGAATTTGTCGGATTAATTCTCTAAATACAGTAAAAATTAACACTAATTCCCAAAATACATAACTTTTATAAAAAATTCCCAAACTACCAAAGTTTGACATGGATCGAGTTTAGCAAACTCGAACTAGAAGGCGATCGATTGACAGTTAATCGATCCACGTACATCGAGGATGAAGCACTCGATCTCCACGAACTGGATCGATGAGTTGGGAAGCGATCTACCATAGATCGATGTACCGCGAAGCGATCTAGGCCGTTCGATTTCTCAACAAGCGAAGTGGTGAAGACGCGGATCGAGTGTGGAAAAGACGATGCAAGTAGATCGAGTTCATGGACATCGATCTGCTTGACGCGGATCGATGACGTCAACAGCAAACAACCGTCGATCGAGTACACCAAACTCGATCCACGCCGTTCGATTCCAAAACACGCGAAGCAGGGATGACGCGGATCAAGTGGGCGAAACTCGATGCAGTCGATCGAATCAGTAGTGGTCGATTTATTTGACGCGGATCGATGACGTCAAAAGCGAACAGCCGTAGATCGAGGGTACTAAACTCGATCTGATTCGTTCGATGCGCCTGTCAACGATCTTCTTTTGACGCGGATCGAGTACACCTAAATCGATGCACTGGTTCGAGTTTTGTAAACTCGATCTACCCTCCCACTGCAGCTATAAATATTCCCTTCCATTCCACCAAATCCCACACCACTCCATTCTTCTTCCTCTATTCCTCCCACCACTCTTGAAAAAAAAAATATGCTCTGTGGTTGCGGCTAAGCCCGATCTTCCGCATCAGATTTTTTTTTCTTTAGTTTGGTACTTCTATCACTCAAAATTGCCGAGATGGATCCGAGTATTTACGATCCTAGATTATACATTCAAGGCGGACCGCGAGAAACCGATTTGTTGGATGAGCAACCTTACCATCGGTCTGAAAGTGTTTGGGCGACAGATCCGGTAAGCACTTCCTCATTTACTTTTCTTTTTTTTAAATGTGATAGTATTCTTCTAATTTTTTTTTTTGTATAATAATTAATATTTTTTTTTCTACAGGAACAACTTGACGTAATCACCCATCGGTCGCTATCTCGCTTGCCTAAATGGGATGATCGTATCGAGCCCTTCATTGAAAGAGCGTGATTGCTGAGGGTGCGAAAGTTTGTGGGGATGGAGATGGACAACAACCTTCTTACGGCAATGGCGGAAAGATGGAGAAAAGAAACGCACACATTCCACCTTCTAGAGGGAGAGATGACGATTACGTTGAAGGACGTAGCCATGCTCACAGAGCTTCCAATCGATGGTGATGCAATAATAGAAAGTTCACAGAAGCCATTGAATGGTTGAGGCCAATTTATAAGCGAGCGTTTAGGTATCAACATCCCCGAGGAAGCACAAGAAGGTCGTCGTGTACCACCTCTACACAAGTCTATGTTATTGATACCTTGGCTAGTGAGGACCGTTGGGGAATTACCGGAGGATGCCACGGATGCTCAGATAGAGAGGTATGCTCGCATCTACCTTATTTGTTTGGTTGGAGGATTTTTGTTTCCGAACAAGTCTGGTGGAAATATGCATTGTATGTGGCTTCGAGTTCTTTTGGAAGATTGGGACGAGATTGGGAGAAAAAGTTGGGGATCTGCTTGTTTGGCGATGATATATTCGGAGTTGTGCAAGTGTACGGATCCGAAAACAAAGCAAGCGGGTGGTCCCATGTTCATCCTCCAACTATGGGTTTGGGAGCACCTTCCTACTTTCGCTCCGATCTGCCCTGTCAACAGTTGGGGTCCCGATGAGCCACTACGACAATGGGCTTATGGTGCTAGATGGATTGGAGCTATCACGAGTGGCACCTCTCTAGACGGGTACCGCCAACATCTTGACCGTATAGAATTCAACGAGGTAACATTCTAGCTTATGATTATTTATTTCTAATTTATTTGTTGAAGTTATTTGTCTTAGCCCATTATTTATTTTTATGATTATGAATCCTATTTTATTTGTTGAAATTATTTGTCTTAGCCCATTATTTATTTTTATGATTATGAATCCTATTTATTTGTTGAAATTATTTGTCTTAGCCCATTATTTATTTTTTTGATTATGAATCCTATTTTACTTGTTGAAATTATTTGTCTTAGCCCATTATTTATTTTTATGATTATGAATCCTATTTTATTTGTTGAAATTATTTGTCTTAGCCCATTATTTATTTTTATGATTATGAATCCTATTTTATTTGTTGAAATTATTTGTCTTAGCCCATTATTTATTTTTATGATTATGAATCCTATTTTATTTGTTGAAATTATTTGTCTTAGCCCATTATTTATTTTTATGATTATGAATCCTATTTTATTTGTTGAAATTATTTGCTTCGATTTTAATTAGTATGTTGTGTTGAAACTTAGGTGGAGTGGGATCCGTATCTGAACGGAGCAAAGGATTTTTACGAGTTGCGATACCCTGAGGATCGCCGACTCTGGTCGTGCAAGTTGCCTGTGATTTGCCATAACATTGTCGAGTGGCACCTCCCGGATAGATGTGTCCGACAATATAATTTGGCGTAACCGATTCCTCTCGCACCACCGGACGTACATAAGTCACTCCACAAGTACAGCAAGGATCTGCGGGGTGCAATAAGTGATTGGTCAACCAAGCACCATAGATGGATCGAAATGTGGGAGTCTCGTCAGACGTATGCAATTAATGGGATCACAATGACGAGGCCAATGGGGTACCAAGATGAATACATGGTTTGGTACCGCAAGTTCACAAAAAGATGGGTAACCAAACGTGGCGCCGTGATCGGTTCATTGGTAAGCACAATATCTATTTACTATAATCACTTTAGCTACACAAATAGTGTTTACTAACATGTTTATTATTTAGGTTGATGGGTTGGAACTTGCATCAATGACGTTGGAGAATGAACCAGAAGATGTTGTGCCAGGGGAGAAAATTTCATTCTTGAAGAAGCTCTTCAAGAATCTCTTGTCATGTTCGCGGGAAGTCCGAAGGGATGTCATTGCATATCCTCCTGCTCCTGCACCGCCACGTCCTTCCTCCCACGCCATTGAAGTTGAATCTCTCCCGCCATCACCACCAAGGAGGAGTAAACGTCGGCAAGAGCCAGGTAACGTCCCTGTGCATGTACGAGAAGATGTGGCACTTTCTGACCCATACGAGTATGGATTCCCTCCCGTCAGAAGGGAATTCGGAGAGGGATCATCAGGTTCTGCTCAAGAAGGGGGTGGAGGAGCCTACTCTTCATCGTTTGGTCATCAATTTCAAACCCCGCATCAAAGCTTCCAGACTCCCATTCCAAATGTTTATTATGGTCCTCCAGCCACTGCAACCTCACCTCCATTGCCACGAAATACTGGAATTGGATATGGAGTTCGTTCAAGGAATAGACGTCGAAGGGAGGGACGTGGACGTGGTGAACAAGAGTGAGGTGTTCTTTAGAGTTGTTAAGTTGTTCTATTTCTTTAGAGTTGTTAAGTTGTTCTATTTCTAATGACGTTGTTAAGTTGTTCTATTTCTTTAGAGTTGTTAAGTTGTTCTATTTCTAATGACGTTGTTCCGTTGTTTTATTTCTTTAGAGTTGTTTAGTTGTTCTATTTCTTTAGAGTTGTTAAGGTGTTCTATTTCTAATGACGTTGTTAAGTTGTTCTATTTCTCATGCATTGTTAAGTTGTTCTATTCCACAATATAAAGTTCTTAAATCACACCATAAAATTCAAATTACAACGTAAAGTTCTTAAATCACACCATAAAATTCAAATTACAAGTGAAGAGTTAGCAAAATAACAGAAAGCGTATTCAATGTCCATGTTTTTCCGGCCCACTTAACAATATAAAATTCTCTTTTGAGTCTTTCCCTCATTTTTATGTTTCAGTCATTCATTCTTCACCAGGGGCGAAGCTAGCACAGCGGCCGGGGGGCCATGCCCCCCCCCCCCCCCCCCCCCCGGAAATTTCTAGAACATGAGTAATACGAGATATCGCCTAGAAATTGATATGTTAATATCAGCAGCGTAGTGGTAAATGTCTTGTTTTGTAGAAGAGAGGTCAATGGTTCAACTCTTATAGTCCCTTATTTTTGTTGCATTTTTTCTTCTTTTTCTCCTCCCATCTATGAGAGTGGAGGTCAAGGGGTTATGGGTCCAGAAATTCAATTGATGGTTGCCAAAATTGTGTTCATTGGTTTCTTTATTATCAACAATTTAGTTTAGGAGTTAATGTATTCCTTTGAAATTGAGCTCGATTTTGGATTCTATTAATGAATTTTGATATTGATGTTATTTACCGATTTGCAAGAAAGTAGTATCTTCTAGTTTTTTTTAGGTAAATAAATAATTAGATACTACTTTTCTCTAGTTTTTTCTGGAAAATAAATAATTAGATTGTCATTTTAACTGAAGATTTTTCATGTTGATGTTCTTAGAATGCTTTTCTAGTTAATATATCATTTGTTGCTCAACTGTGTTGTAATTTACCGAAACTTCGGCAGTCAAGAGACTTTGATCTTATTGACATGTTGATTCACCTTATTTTTAGCTTAAACACTATTTTGATTAATTTTATTTCCTTCAAATAGCATCGTGTAATAAATAAATTTCCATATCATGATTTTGTTTGAAAATTTTATTTTTGGCCTCCCGGACTTGAAATCCTGGCTTCGCCCCGGTTCTTCACCACCAGTTCATCACATGACAAGGAATCGTCCGACAGTTTGACCGACCAATCAATCATTTTACACAGTCTTAAATATATTACCATATCATATATTATATAGTAAAGTCTTTCCCCTGATTCCGGCCGGCGAAGTCGGTCGGCGACTGTGCTACTACTACATTAGTTCCGGCACGTACTTGGTAAGAACCCGACTGACGAGAATCTTATAGGCCTTCTCCGACGGATGGTAGCCGTCCCAAAATACATATTTGGAAGCATCGGGACAAGTGAAAGGGCTGTATTTGTTGCACGACACCGATGCCTCGATTGTCCCCGTCCCGCAGCACCCTTTGTTCGCTACCTCGAAACCTATATCACAATTCACAACAACAAAACGAACAAGGACTTCATCATCCAACGCTCTATCTCTGATGATTGGACCGTGGAATTCGGTTCTTGATTTTTCTTTGTCAATTAGATTACACAACGAAGAACTAACTTTGACTCTCCACGATTTACCATCAATTTTTTGAAACTACTTTAATTTTACAAAATTCAGGAGTAATTGAACACAAATTTAATGGGTTATAAGAGAAATTTATATGAATTTGGGATTTGTTGAGTAGATTTGGATAAGATATAGATATTTCCATCATGTGCTAGCTAATTGGATATAAGTTCCGCCATTACTTTAAATTGTTTTAATACACACAAAAAGCTTGAGTTATTTTGTAAAATTTTCGAAGTTTAGGTATTAAATCTTAATTTCTTAAATTGAATATTTGTAACTATATAATGGGTATGAGTAAAAATTCAAATATATTAGTTCAAATTCAAGTCAAATGCGTATGAAGATGAACTCATCGAACTATACTAATTTATGTCATGTGTGAATTATGTATCCAATCTAAAAGGATGGGTACATAAAAACCCATGAATTTTGACAAATTTGTCATCCATGCCTACTTTTGTAGTTAACACACTTATTTTATAAATTTTGACAAAGAATTTGAACGGGATAACCACGACATTTTCAAACTTTAAGCGAAAAACTGACTAATTTGTTAATAAGGTCTTAAAGTGTCTATCCTTAAATTTGATGACAAAAATTTTTTAGTTTAACATTTAATTGAATGCGAATGTCTCACCATAAGATTGATAATTGTTGATGACCTCAAGGAGAGGATTATAGACGTCGATGTAGACGACTCTAGCAGAAGCGTCCAAGTTTCCCTTCAAAGAATTCAAACCCGCAGATAATTTCGAGTTGAACAACTGCGACGCCTTATTATATTTGTCACTACACTTTCTCTCTAACCCGCCTGCCACCGTCCTGCTAGATGGAATACACCCGAGCGGCGGCGCTCCAAACACTCCGATTCTTCTTGATCCCACCGTATACAAATCCTTCCATTCCAATGAAACGCAAACTTATCGAGCCAAATTAAAGCAGATTGAAAAATTCATAAACGTCAAAAATGAATATTTTCGAGATGTCATATGGTTACCATAACGAATTTCGTTGCGGTTTTGACCAAAATGTCGGCGTAAGTAGGGAAGTCGTACTGGAGCTCCCGCAGGCGAGAGTTGAAGTAAGTGTTGGCTATGTCGTTGCTACTCAGAACGATTAGAACTACGCTATCGGCCAAGAACTTGGCCGTCGCTTCTTCTCCAAGCATAGCTTTCACCCTGTTTGCGTACTCTTTGAACTCTCTCAGCTGTTCGCTCAATGGCGGCACCGACTGAGAAACAAACCAACACTTAAATTTACGAACAAACTTCCACTGGAGTACGTATGAAGAATTTATGATATGTCATTTTCAACAGGAGTAAAGACTTCAATTTCTGCATTTATACCGCGGTTTTTGACGACAAGTCATCGTACCCGACACCGCCGGCAGCGAAGCAAACGCCGGTGAGTAGATCCTCCGGCGTCAAGTTGGGGTCCTTGTACGCCGGCAGGGTGTCCTTAATCCCAAGCTCTTCCACTGCCCAAAAAGGAAAACAGAGGAAACCCAATTTTTAGCGAACCAAAAAGGAAATTCTGAATTTGATGAATTGAAACGATAAGACGAACCTAGGAAATCGGACGGGACCTTCCCGTTGGAGAATCGTCCGGTGGGAACTCCGCCGTAGAAATCCCTGCCGTAGGGCGGGAAGTTGCATCTAGCAGGGGAAGTAAGGATCTTGTTGTTGTTCCCCGTATCGACGATTGAATCGCCGAATACTAAAGCCGCCGGCACGGATTCGTTCGCCGGGATTTGAATCCGGGCGGAAGCGGGTCCGGCGGCGAAGAGGAGGATCAAACCCACAACGGCAAATGAGGAGAAGGGAATTGATGAGCTCGACATTGCTCTGTTTGTAAACAAAAAAAATGTAAAAAAACAGAGTAAGGCTTTCACTCTCAGTACACTCTGTTTTTTGGGGTTTACTCTGGCAAAACGAAAGCTGAGAACTTTCTCTATAAATTGGAGGGACCATGGAGTGATCGTACTGGCGCTTCATTAATGGAGGGGCGGCAAAGGGAAACTGTAGTGGGTTTTGATTTTTTTCCTTAATGAAGCGTATCTGTATCCATTGACTTAAGGCAAGTTCCCCTGTTTCGTCGATTGTCCAATTTGGCTTTCGCTTCTTTCTTGAAGAATTTAAGGCTGGAATTTGGGGCAAGTATGATCATTTCTGTAGATTGATTGTAACATGCTGGTGGTAGGTACTCTATAAAATCATCGTACGATTGTGGCTGTATTGAATGCGGGTAATCGCTTATGCTATTCTCTGCCAAGTGCAAAGCCATGCTAAAAGCCAGCTCATATCGTGCTAATGTTGTACTACAATTGTAAGTCTTCTTGACCTTGTTGGTGGTTGGCACGGTTTGATTATCCAAAGAATTCGACGCTTGTTTTACCCACTGTGCAATTTTACATGAAATGAGCGGATTATCTTAATAATTTACCTATGTATAAACCATTTATTACCTGCACTTACTATTCATGGGAGGAAACTAATAATAAGCTTCATGAACATACATTTGTTTTGTGCATGAAATGTTTAATCTTTATGTAAATTGCGTTAAATTAGTTCATACTGACCATGGAATGTCCCTAGTGGCATTGCCAAAACTTCTAGCAATTTAACGCAATTGAATATAAGATCGTGAGCAAATGAAGTGTCGTGGTAAACTACAAACGCCTAGCAGGAGGTCAGACCAAGGAAGACCCAAACCGAACTGGTCTAGGTTGAAATCGTCACTCAATTGACAACAACCCTCGTATAGTAATGAGATTTGATAAGTTTTCTTGAAGTGAGCACTTGGATTTGGTGGCTAACCAGTAGATAAAAAGATTGCGGAAAATTTAATGACAGGAGAAAGACTTTAGCTGACACCGGTTTTAAGCTAAAATTGAGGCATATACTTATACAAATTATGTTGAATGCTTTAGACACATAGGGGTCAACATAAGGATGATGCATTTACATGGGAAGTTCTTTCATCTCATGGTGGGGTAAGAAGCAGGATCACGTAGCCAAGTCATTAACGAAGGCTGAATATCGCTCGATGAGTGAAGCCACGTTATAGATAATTTGGCTCTAGGGGTTGTTGATTGAGTGGGGGTAATGTGTCAAGTTCTCATTCGATTACTGACAATACTAGTGCAATACAAATATCAAGGAAACTCAGTACTGCATGATCGGACAAGGCATATCGTGGTGCATCTACAATATATTCGTCAACTTGTGGTTGAGGGTTCGGTGGAATCTTCTCACATTACCATAGAGCATCAGACATTTGATGTACCGACCAAGGCTGTTTATTCGACTTGTCGTTGGTTTCTTGCTCAAAAATTAATGTAGCAACAACACAGTTAATTCGAGAAAGTGTGTTAAAAGTTTATGTACTGTATTGTAATTAGTCAATTAATTATATGGTAATTGCTTAAGTTACTGTTGGGAGTTTGGCTAATATGTGTGCATAGCTGAACCGTACGATTACGAAAAACAACATCAAACTCCGTTAGTGTATCGTATACTAGTCTCAATGATAGTCGTTAAGAAAACTAGGTAAATCGCGTTATATCTTGTGTCTTTCTCGATTGATTCCTCTTAGTGCTACATGACCAAGTAACTTCAAATAGCTCTTTTTCTCACACTTCATTCCTAAATTGATATCAACGGTAGTGCAAGTAAGAAAGTTCAATGAACCACATTTTGCTTGCGGTGAAGAACTTGAGAAACCGGCTTTGCATGTGGCTCTCTCATGAGAATTTATTATATGTATATGAACTCTAATCTACTAATGAGATTTGGCTTTCCACTAGCCACGTTGATTTGCTTAACACGTCAACTTTCCCAACGTATCACAATCGTATAAGAGGGGTTTGGAAATTTGGTACACTCGAATGAATGAACGAACATGCAATGTCAAGTTAGTTGGAGTCATTACTCCACAAGCAAGAGTTACCTTTATGGGTACACAGGACAGGAGTACTGCAACATTTCCATCCTTTCTGTGGCAAACAAGTACCACCTTCCTGCCTATGTGTTTTGGTAAAAATGTCTATTGTTATTTATATTCCCCTTTTCATTTTTACTCTTGATCCCCTGCTTTTCCCCTCTTCCTTGAGTTGTGGGTTGAAAGTTGAAGGGTGGAATATGAAGTTTATCGAATACCCAATTGATCAGAAATGTAAACCCTGTTAATGTTAAGATTAAAAAACCCTAATAATGAAAATAAAACATAAAAAAATATGATATGGATCTCAATCAAGCAACAGTTCTCACTTCTAGTACTTCTTTCTTAATTTTCAATACCTCAAGCATTACCAAGAGAAATAGATGCATCTTTCAAAGAATCAGATTGAAATAAAAACCTATGATATCAGTAGGAAACAACAAAATAAGTCATTTCTTAATCACTTAAATAGATATTGATAACACGTGAATTATACATGTTCTTAGATCCCTTTTAAGCCCCTTTGCTTGGTCATTCCAACAATATTTATATGTTTTGGCCAGTTTTTTGTTTGGTTTGTGATTTTGGTGTGTTTCAGACCATGATGAGTTAATTTGATGACATTTGGACAAGAAAAATAGTAAAGGATGAAAGAGGACAAGAATACGAGCGTCTGAGATCAAACTTGGACTGATTCAGAGTTCGAACGAGAGAGTTTGTGATTTTGGTGTGTTTCAGGTCACAACGAGTCAATTTGATGACATTTGGACAAGAAAAACAGTAAAGGATGAATGAGGACAAGAATACGAGCGTCTGAGATCAAACTTGGACTGGTTCAGAGTTCGAACGAAGGAGAAAAGGCAAGAACAAAATGAAGGAATTAGTTGTCTAAGCACTCACGGGTAGACCCACGCCCATGAGCCAGACCATAAAATTTACCGTTCAATTTCCCGAGAGAATTCATTGTCGAGCTATTCAAGGGCAGCCACACGGTCGTGACTCTACCCATGAACAGCTGCGAACTTCCCCCAAACGATGCATCGTTCCTATTTCGAATCCCATTCACGGGTAGGCCCATGGTCGTGGCTAAGGCCGTAGGCAGGGGCAGACCCATGGTCGTGGTATCGGAAATTGCTCTTCTAGCCTGAACTATGTAGCATACTTCCTTATTTGGCCCGGAGGCGGGTCTGACCGTCAAATTGAACGGTCAACCGAGTTGTCGTTAGTCAAGGTCCAACGAAGTGATATTGGGGGTTAAATTATGATTAATTCCTTGAAAAGAGGTTGATAAATAAGTGATAAGTAATAAGAACAATGAAATTTCCTTCTGAGACCCATTTCCTTGATGATAATATCTAATAATTCATACACTTGACACACATTAAGCATTATGCAACCACTAAACAAATGTTAGCTGGTTGCAATAAATATTGCAACGGTAAAGCCCATGCCAAGCATTTGCCCATTTGTGGACTGTCTGAGATCCGTATCGCATCACTTTCATTGCCTCATTGGGCATCAATCTTCTTCCCAACCGCTTCTCTATTAATGGGCCTGTCCTCTTGATGGCCCATATGCTCTGTTAGTAGAAAAGGAAAACAACTCACATCCCCAACTCCTATATTGTCTGCTACCAGGATAATAATTCCAGCTATAAAGAAAGAGACCTCAAAATGTAGATTTTAGTCACATAACATTGAATTAGTTCCTTAATCAGCAGCAGTTATTAGTCACTTTTCGGCCATTAATTAGTTTGGTCATGTTATCCTGTCTGAAGCAATTAAAAGCCTTGTGCTTATCCGAAATGTTTTATGATTTTATTGGAAGGGTAAGAGTCATAGTAATTTTGTATTATGGGGTTCTGTAAGAAGAATGGGTTAGACCAATGCAGTTGAAAGCGTGATTCTATTTAGAAGTGGAAAATGGATAAAATTGTAAAGCGAGTTGAATCAAAGCGTAAAAACATAAGTTTTTACGCATACTGTAAAATAACTAAAAACATGTTAAGTATGACATATACTATGTAAAATGTGAGTGCAAAAAATTTATAAAAATTAATAAATACATGCAATTCATGTCAAAAGTAGAGCAACTCATAGCATCTTAACAATAAGTTAACAAACATAGATTTTAACAATAAGTCACTTTCCCCTCTATTGAAACTAAGAATGCATCTGAGTACCTTATATGTATCTTATAATCTCAAAAGTATCATATTGTTGGTGATTTACCTTTAAATTATACTTTTTATGTAGTGAACTAAAATCGTAAAAGCGTAACGTTTTGGTGAACTAGAAGCGTAAAAGCGTAAGTTTTTAAACCTTAAAATGAAATTTAGTCCGATTTTATGTATTAAAGCACGATTTTGACTGCATTGGGTTAGACGAGACTTAGCTGCCGTATGTTTGTTGGATTGGAGTGATGGGTTTGCAATCCAAATCTCAAGTACAATGGATTCAAGCATTTTTTTTATCTTTTAAATACAAAAACTTGAAGATAAATTCATTAAGTTACGTGTTTGTAAATCTCACATTTTATTTTGAATTTGATTGAGGGTTAGAAAACCTGTATGCAAAAGAGTTATAAATCCTTGATCAAATCAACACGGACTGTCCAATGCGGGGATGAGTTAGGGTGATTACTACTATTTTAGTAGCCACCGTGGCTAACAAAATCTACACCCTTCATTAGCTTTATTTTATCTTATTTTTAAATTGACGATCAAGATTAGATTAAGGATAGTTTTGGAAACAAAAATTATATCACATCTGATTACTATCCTTAACCAAATTAATTTCTATATATTTTATCAAAACCCTATTGCAACCCTATTCTCCATCTCTCTCGCGTCCCACCTCCCTCCCTCTCACTCCCAGGTTACGCCGCCATCCCCATCGCCTCTACCCTTGCCTCCACCACTAAGATCGACCAACCCCTCTCTCTCTCTCTCTCGACTCCCACCTCCCTCCCCTCTCCCTGCCAGGCTACGCCGCCGTTCCCGTCGCGTTTGGCCGTTGTACCCACCGCTAAGATCGACCAAATTGGAGGCCAAGTAGTCCTCTCTCTCTCTCTCTCTCTCTCTCTCTCTCCGTCTCATTGGCCTCTCGCGATGGCTGGAAAGGTTACTCTGCCGACATCATAATCAGAAGAAGAAAGCCCAAATGGAATGATACTTTTTCAGTTGCTTTGGTATAGTTTTGTTTTGGTACTTTTTATTTATTTTGTTTTACGAAATAGTATAATTTTGTTTT